TTTTGTCAGTGTTGTCAAAACTTGGCCATTTTAGGATGAGTGGACTTCAACTCCCGGAATCCCCCAGCCAGCATGGCTGGCTGGGGAATTCTGGGAGTTGAAGTCCACTCATCTTAAAGTGGCCAAGTTTGGACAACACTGTCATACATGCATTGAAAAGCAATAGCCATTGGTTCTTTAACAGCAGTTAAAAGAACATCTGGAGAGTTGGGTCCTGTTTTGACAACTTCACAGAGTGGCCAGATATAAAAAAGGCCATTTTCCACCTTTTTTCCATTTCCCACCTTTAATAATAGTTGTAATGATGAGGGAACTTTGGCAACTGGATCTTGCAGTATAAGTTTGACTTCTGCTGGTGAGACATGAACACATCCATGCCATGGTCTTGGCAATAATGCAGAAGCCGTTTCCAGAATGTTTTTAGATACCCCAGTTTAGTCTATAGCCTGAGAATCTTTTGATACTCTCCCAAATCTGAGCCTACTTAGCTTTGTTCAGGGTCAACCAAGGTTGAATAAATGCTGCCATCGCAGCTGATAATCCCTGTTAAAATGCCCTCTTTGATACAGCTGCTAAAGATGAAGGAGAGCTGTGTTCTTATTCTCTTTTGCAACCAGCAGCTCCATGCTTGATTCAAGGGAACGACGTAAGAATCCTGAATTTAGAGCTGGGCATTTTCACAGTTCTCTAGAACAGTGTTTCTCAACCTTGGCCACTTGAAGATGCTCTAGAATATCTCTGGGCAAGCCGAGAACTTGGACTGACTACTTTTCTAGTCTTCTCCAGGAGAGAGAGAAATAATACCAGTTCTCATGGGCAGGATTCTCTCTTAGGAGTGAAAATACGTCCTGCTATTGAAAAGCCTTTGGAAGAGTTTTTCCCTTGGGATTGAGTGGAAGCCGGGGGGGCTGCAGACCTCCAGAGACAGCATGTGCATGAGGAATCTATCCATCCTCCTCAACCATCATGTAATGAAATAACTATGAGGACCACTCAGTCTGTTCCTGAGAATGCCTCCTTGGAAAGAGTTTATAAATCACACTATTTTTTGATCATCCAATTGAATGAGAATTGGGATGGGGGAGGAACCCACAGGGTAATTTTTCTGCCACACACTAGACTGGATTGGGTCTTCCTCTCTCTCTCTTCTGTAAAATGACAGTGTCATTATGGTGGTCATCCCCCACTCACACTTTGCAGAGACTTCTAGAGTCATCCGACAATGGTTGTGCCAAAAGAGCAATAATAAACAGTCACAGAACTTCAGCGATATAAGCTAGCAAACCAATCTGTGATTCCCTGTTACCCTGGAGGCAAAGACCAATTTTAAAAGTATTTTGCATGCAGGAATCTTAAGGAATGCCTTTCTCCTCTCATATGGTTCCCATATCTGGGCTGCCAAATTTATTTCAGATGATCATTCTGGCTGCTACCTAGTAACTGTGTTGAAATCTTGTAGCCCAGAAGCACTGCAGTCATTCTTCCTGGGTGCCCCAGTGAAGTGGGGTGAGTAGTTATAAAGAAGAGGATATTCCACGATGGACTCCCCATTCTTGAATGCCTTCCAAGGGTGGCAATTCATGCTGAAAACGTGTTCATGCCTTCCTGAGATATTTTATTTTATATTGATTTATTTATGTATCAAATTTGTCACCACCCATCTTGTTTATATTCCCACTTATCCGCAGACATTTTCTTTTCTCCAGATCTGAAATGCTTGCAATACTCTAGGAGAGTAGCTTACAGATGCCTTTTAAAATATTTCCTAGGTTATGTCTTGATGAACGTCATTGAATGGCTTCACACAACACACTGAGCTAAAGTGTGGCTTGGTTTGTCTGCAGAATGAACCAGTATGACGAGCTTCTGTTTAATGCTGACTGCAAATCCTGGCAAATGGGCTTATTCCTTAAACCATTGTTAGTCAGCCACAGGTTAACCACTTGTCCAAACACAGCCATTATTGTTATTGCTTACTTGATTAAAGTTTATAATCTGCTCAGAGAAGTTCAGGGATGTGGTGAATAGTCTGCTAAAATCCTTTTCAGAATGGTTTCTCTTTCCTTTCCCACCACTGTTCTGTACTATTGTTGTTGTTTTTTAAGTGTGTGGCTATATAAAATATGCACGGCTTCTTTCCTTTGTGCAAAGTGCAAAATAAGCAAACAACATTGTTCCACTGAAGTAAATTAAGGTGGGGTTTTTCTTTGCTACTTGAACTAATAGAAATTACTGGCTTGTGCATTCCGATCTTTGATATATTTGTAATAACATCTCAAATGCTATCTATGAGCCCTCTCCCATCTAGTGTTCTCCAGAGGTGTTCCGGCTGCCTGGGAGTGATGGGGGTTGTAGTCCCAGCGTAAATTGTTGGAGACAAACCACTTCCCGCTCGCCTCTCTCACCTTCTATTTTAATAAACGCCCGGGTACTGTCTTGACCCATCTCGTTGATAGCTTGGCATTCATAATGACCCTCATCATCCTTTTTCACTCGTTCAATCACCAAAGTGTTGTTTTCCATGGAAATTCCTGGAAGAAGAAAGGGGATGGGTGAAAGAGAAGGAGAAAGGAGCATTATTTTAAATGCATCATGTACTAGGGAGTCTTTTTCCCAGGGAAATTGGTACTGGAATCATCAGGCTAGAAACAGAAAGAAGTAGCACGTGTGTGTGTGTGTGTCTCTCTCTGCATGTATAAAACCATGACCTTGAGTATTTGATCCCCTCTGTGGATGCCTCAAATGATGGAGCTCCCTTCATTTGAAGCTAATCATCAGCCCATCTGGTCCAAATTTATTTATGCTGAAAGCACGGTCTCTCCAAGATTTCAGGGAGAGACCCTCTTCTGCATTTTGACATTTTTGAAAGTGGATTTTCCAGGAACTGAAGTCTTTATCTAGCACGGCACTGCTATTCTGTATTGTTTTGAAAGGAAGGGGAATTTTAAGGCATGCAACTTTGCTCCTGCCAGAACTGTAGGCATCTAGAGGTAGTTCAGTCCATGTTCCTGGGTCTTATCTTCACAATCTGTGGATGTGTTCATACAGCTGGAGTGTGATCTATTTCAATAGAGGCACAGGACTAATTCTTTTTCATCCATACATGGTTGAAATGTCTTTGGAATCCTTGGTGCTCTCTGAGCTTCATTGCTTGTTTGCAGACGTTTCATTGCCCAACTAGGTAGCATCATCAATGTGAGTGAGTGTGGGGTTTAGAGCAAACCCCCACACTCATTCGCACTGATGATCTTACCTAGTTGGGCAATGAAACGTCTGCAAACAAGCAATGAAGCTCAGAGAGCACCAAGGACTCCACATTTCAACCCTCAGCTACAGATGTTCTCTTCTGTTGAAATGTCTTTGTTACAGTAGATGTGGCTCTGTTAACCCATACATTTAAATCTACCTGGAAGAGGATGCTCCTTTCAAACCTATGGCTTTTGCTCTGAATTTGTTGTCACCTTGGGTTCTGAAACATTAAAAGAATCTAGGACATGGACATCTTCAAACCTGAAGTCTAATTTCCCATCACTTCTATGTGGTGATCCTATGAATGGATTTACCTCTTCTCTTCTTTCTCCAGGGGTTGAAGTAACAGTACACCTTCACTTCACCTCCATTTAACACTCTTCCTTCAGCCTTCTTCATGCAGTTAATGCATTTTGCTTTACATATCTGCCCTTGTGCATTCAGGGGAGTGGAATCGATAGCTCACATTCTTTTATGTGTATAACTTTGACAGCACTTTTACTACAAGGCCTACCAGAAATGGACCTCTGTCTTTGTATTCAGACCACATTCTGAGCATTTCCAGCAGCATAGCTAAGTTTTGGGCCACTGTTTGCTCTGCTTGTCAATTGTGAACTGCATGGCCTGGATTCACACAACATGCCAAACCCAAGTCAAGCGAATCAATTGCGCCTTACAGTAGTGCAATACACTATGTGAACCCAATCATTATCTGGGAGCATGTCCCATAAAGAGCAATGGAATTTGCTTTCTAAAATTGTAAAATCAGTTTGTTTCAATGAGAAGCCCCACAATGGAAGACTTTCCCTCACTCTGCCATTATATATCACAAATACGACTTAAAGAAAAGTGAAAGAATTTCAAACATATCCTGCAAATGGAATAGGAAAAAAAAGATACCTCTTTTGCAAGGAAAAAATATTTTTGGAAAACAAGAGGAGAAATTTTGGCAGAGTATTTATATGACCTTTCTAAAAATCCATAGCAACAGACAGTGTATTGTCTACATTGACTGGAATCAGTTCTCCAAGGATTCGTTCCCGCAGAAGACCACAATTGGGACCGGAGTTTCCGTCGCTAAGCTATATGGTCATAAAGCATGACCACATCGCTTAGCGACAGCAAACCCTGCAGTCCCAGTTGCTGTTGTTAACCGAATCCCACTGTCGTTAGGTGAGGCAAACTCTTGCTGACTTCCCAAAAGCAAAGCCAGTGGGGAAGCTGCAAGTCCCAGGCTGGCAGGCAGGAAAGTGGCTGCTGCTGAGTGGGGGAGAATGTGATGGGGTACGCGGGGGCGCACAAGAGGCACAGCATGAGTTGGGGAGGTGCACGAGGGTGCAGTGTGGGTTGGGGAGGTGCACGAGGGTGCGTGAGTGGCCAGTTCAGCATGAGCACAGTGGGGCTGAGGGAGGGTGCGCAGGTGGGGGAGACTTACCCCAGTGACTTGCGATCTTCCCTGCCGGCTTCCCCACTGACTTTCTGGGGAAGCCGGTAGGGAAAGTCGCAAATGTTGATCATGTGATCGAGGGGGGCTGCAACCGGTTGTAAGCGCAAACAGGTTGCCAAGCACTCAGATCATATCACATGACCATAGGGGCGCTGGGATGGCTGGAACTCTGAGTACTGGTTGTAACCACCATATGTTCAGTGTCGTCATAACTGAATAAATGGTTGTAGGTCGAGGACTACCTGTAGTCCTGGATCTGCTAGGATGGGAACTGAACCGGGGACCTTGGAGATGGAAAACGTGCGTTTTCCTACTGACGCATGATGCCCCCTTCCTCAGTGGGCCACCTCTGCTCTTATCAGAAAGCAAAAGAAAGCAAAACTAGCACCACAGATCCCAGAAGGCTCACCGGAAGCAGGGGCAATGCGGTGCCCATTTTTCAGCCAAGCAATAGCAGGTTTGGGGGTCCCGTTGACTTTGCACTCCAAAACAATGGTCCCACTCACATTAACCTCCAAGTCGGTAAAGTTCTCCATAATGTAAGGCACCGTCTTAACTGCAAACAAAGAGAAAATGACATGTTTTCCACCATAACTTTGCACTTCTGTGGTCACAGAGACAACCTTTTCCTTGAACAAAAGAAAATAAGAAAATTGTAAAGATCAAATCAACACAGCTTGGAAGCCACAGAGATGTAAAAATAAATGTTTGCTAAAACAGAGATTTAATTTTTAAGATGAAGATGAACAAGATCCTTCTCCTTTTCCTCTTCTACCATGAAATGTCCTGTAAGTTACTAGTTCTAATGGTTCCAAAGCTAAATACCAACTAAATTTAGCAATACCTGCTGAACAGTTATCCTCCGGCCTTTTCTCCACATCAAGAAATGAAATCTGGGACCCAACTTCACCCCAACCTTTCAGAACACAATCCCAAACCCAAAAGGAATGTGTGGTAAGTAAAAGTGGTTGTCGTTGTTTTGTAAAGCTACTCATCTCAGTTTGTTTATGACACATTCAGAATGAAAGCAAGTTTACAAGGCATATTTTGCCTCTCCCAATAGCATTTGATTTTCTTCTCAAATATCTTCTGTGCTCTGGGCTTTCTGATTTTATTGCTCGAATTTGTCCTGGTCCATCTGATTTTTTTAAAAACTAACTTTGATCACTGCATTCTATCCTCCAGTAGAGCAGCAAAAGAGTAGAAACTTTCCTTTTCATTTCTTTGCTCTTCCCAAGCTGAAGAAATCATATCATTTTTACTGATTTGGCTCCATTTCTAGTACTAATTGCATCGGACTTCCTACCAGAAATTAATGATGGAGAATATGGAAAGGCCATTTGTATGCAACTCTGCTTGATTAGTATGTTTCTACCTAATTATCCAAAAACATATACATGCTGGAGATGGGTTGAATTTCAGGGTCAATTTGCAAAGGCGGTACCTGTGTGTAAGTTGGAATATTGCCAGAATTGCTTTGTTTGGAATTTTACAGCATAGTAACTCAAAACTGCATGTAAATAAGTCTGCATGTAAATAAGGGAAAAGTAAGAAAAAGAAATAGCATGCTATTAGAGCAAAGTAGAGGCCACAGGCTGGCTAGGAATGCCAGGAATTGTGGCCCAAAGACCCCTCCCCCCCCAATCTTAAGGAAGTTGATTTAATAAAACCCAGGATTCCTGATGAAGCTCATTGGTGGAAGTTTCAGGAGAGATGAAGAGATACCCTTCTAGACACCGTTCATAATTAAGGTATGGTGGCAATGGATGAGGAGTCCCCAAACTTTCTGGCCTGGTGGGCACATTTGGAATCCTGAGAACACGTTGTGGGCATTTTCACAAAATGGCGCCAGTGGGAGATGGCCGGGTTGAAGAAACATGTTTACCAAAATGCCCTTCTCTGAATAGATAGGCATATTCCCAAGCTAAGCACTGAACTACAGTGGTCTATCCTTTTTACATTTTAAGAAGCCCTATGAGGCCTGTTTATCACCCATACTTGGGCACTGCTAGTTTTACTTTTCACATTTGATAGATGATAGATAGCTAGATTAGACAAATGATAGATAGATAGATAGATAGATAGATAGATAGATAAGAGAGAGAGAGCTCATTAAATGCTAATTAATCCTTCAGATCCTGTGGCCTCCCATTAGCACCTCTAACTATGGGTGTCTGCAAGGAGACAAAGGAGGGAAGTGATCCAGGCATGACTGATACAAGTTACATCATCTCTGGAATGTGCAGACTGATGTCATGATACATGTCACATCCTTGCGACTTTTGCATCTCAGGGTCCACAAAAATATCCATTTGGCCATTGTACTAGACCCGTGTTTCTCAACCTTGGCAACTCTAAGAGGCATGGACTTCCATTTCCAGAATTCCCCAGCCAGCCAGCCACAGTTGAGAAACACTGTGCTACTCTAAAAACTTGGTCTGATCAGTTAGACACCTTCTTAGGTTCTTATATTCTTACTAACTGCCACTCTTAAATCTAGAACTGCACAAGGTGATGCCCACCAAGCTGAGCCCAATCTACCAGAATTGTTGTAGGCCACCAGAAACTCAAGAAAACTGCCTAAAACCCCCAACCTTTTCTGAAATGGCAGAAAAAGGAACACTATGTGGCAGATGTAAATGCATGATGGGTCTCCTTTTTCTGCAGTATTTCTGAGGAAATGGTCCACCATATTCCTGTAAGAACCTGATGCTGTTGCCAGCCACCCCACTTACATTTGATGCTCAGCAAAGTACTTTTCTCCAGCTGCTTGGTGATGTTCCGGTAGCTTGAAGCTCGGCACCTGTAGAGCCCTGCATGAGCCTGTGAGACATTATGAATGTCCAGCACTAAGGAGATGGAATAGTTGTCCACTTTCTCCTGGGTGAGAGCTTTTGGGACTTCCTGCAAGTTGGGGTCATACCAGGTGAGGTGATCATAAAGGTACTTGGAGCACTTGCAGGTCATCTGCACACGGCTGGTCACAATAGCTGTCATTTGTGGATCTGCCTCCAGACTGGATTGCATGTCTGCAAGAAACACAGCAGAGAAGCAGACACACCATTTGGCATAAGATGCAGCTGAGTCAACAGGGGACTTCCTTATGTCTACCCCTGAGAAGAAGGTTTCAAAATACACTGCATGGTTTGAGAACGTGTCGTGGGCACTTTCATAAAATGGAAACAATGGGGGACACATGAACGAAGTCATTTACCAGAAGGCTCTTCTGCTTTTTATACATGGTAGACACACCTTCCAAGCTAAGTACTGAACTGCAGCAGGCCATTGTTTGACCTCCAGTGGGGCATCCAGGATTGGCCTTCAAGACTCCCCTGAGCAAAAAGTGTCCCCTCACCAACACAGAGGTGGGCCCCTTTGTTTCTTTAAAAGGCTACACCGTATATCAGTGTTTCTCAACCTTGGGAACTTTAAGAAGTGCGGACTTTAAATCACAGGGATTCCCCAGCCACCCATGTGGCCGGGGGAGTATTGG